GTTCATAAAAACAAAAGCACAAATTGTTCATCAAAAACAAAAAAAGTGAACTGCTGCAAAAAAACAAAAGGAATGAATTGTTCCATAAAAACAAAAGAATCAAATTGTCCATAAAAACAAAAAAACAGTGTGCTTTATGTTTTCTTTTAATATCTAGATATACCTAGATCACAGTGGGCACTAGATAATGTACTGATAGGTGCCAATGACACATGTTCCTATGGATTCCAAGATGATTTCCACCCTGGTGAGTCAAATATGTGGTATATGATACATGGAGGACAACCACAATCAACATGCCAATCCAAAGACTATGCTCTGTACTTTGATAGCAAAGAAGGTGAGTGTCTACCAGTTGTGATCTTCTTTGTATCTTGATTACTTCTTACTATATTTGTCATTTGTATATTTGATTGCATGATTTCTTTGCTTCTTCACTGTGGATAATATTACTTTCTGTGTTATAAGCACCCATGTTTTATGCAAAAAAAGATGACTGTTTACATTGAATAATTAAATATTTAAATCTAAATCAATAAACACTAGCATATACTTGGGTGAAAATTTATGAGGCAAAAATTGTGCAATATCCAATTGAATATTACTGATATTAATACATTGAATTGTATTATTGTGAAAAATTGAAACCTGCTGAAAACCTCCACAGAGAGCTGAAGTTAATTTGAAAAAAACGGCAATGTGTTTAATAGTAGATTGTTTTCATTTATGGAGGTGAAAAGGAACAATCATAACAATGCTAAATTTTGTGTTGAAGGTATATAAATCAAATTAAAGACCATAGAAAATAGTTACAAATATTTTCTAGTGTCTTTGATCAATTAAGACCAGAGTCAATCTGTAGGCCTGATTTAACCATCAACTGTAACATCAATTCCAGGAACATCTCGATATGCAGAAACCTGGGACTTCCATGTGACCACATCTACCTTCTTACAGTTTGAACTGATGATGGGATGTGGTGAGGTATTCACTGAGGAAAGCAGTGTAAGACTTGAATACTCACTTGATATGGGTAAAACATGGCAGCTGGTATTACAAGAATGTGTGCCTCCAAATATTGGTTGTCATAGTTACCACCAAGAGAGTGTTTATATATCCCAGTTGTACTCTAATAAAACTAGAGTTAGTGTCTATCTGCCGCCTGCTACAAGGTAGGGTACTGGTAATCAGTCTTTGATTTTAAATGTACCATAGAAACAAAAATGACAAATTTCTGATGGCTGAAAACAAATTTCCTTTCCAATTTTGCTTATGAGATTAACTCGAATTTGAGTTGTATCTTTGAAAAAAAAAAGTTTTTAATGGTGATGTTTTTTACATAATATATTATGTTACATATTTAAAAAAAAATATTATTTACTCGCAAATAAGTCTTGTGTTATTTTTATTTGTTGTTTAGTTCACCTGCTACAAGATTCCGTTGGATCCAGCCTGAGTTCGCTGATAGAAAGGACAACTGGGCCTTAGACTATGTATATTTAGGTGATGAATGTCCATGGATGTGCTCAGGTCATGGAAAGTGTTGTACAGGAAAATGCAAGTAAGTTGAAATCACTTGAAAACATCTGCTAGTAATACCAAGTAGTCTAGTTCAAATCTAACAATAGTGTTTCATTTTTCCTGTTAATCTAGTCTAGCCTAGGTATTCAAAATAGAGCATAGTGGATAATAAGAATAAATAAACTGCTGTAGAATACTTTATTTTTCGCTTGGAATTTATTTTCGCTATTTTCGCTGAAGGGATGTTTCCGTGAAAATAAAATCCAGCGAATATACTTTTTTTCCTATATTTCACATAAAACTCATCAAAAATCAGTGAAAATAAATTCCACACAAAACGTCCAAAAAGCCTTTTCAGCGAAAATTAATTCCAGCGAAAATAAAGTAATCCACAGTATTTGAGATTCTCTCACTTTCTATGAGATTTTCTCATGAAATCTTGAATACAGCTTGTTCACATTACTTTCAAAATTCCACATTTTCAATGTTCTATAATATTAAATACATCCTGTCTTAATGAGAAGAGTTATAAAAATGCAGGAAAATTAATAATTTGCCATATGCTAATACAAGTTTTGTCTCTGCATAGTGTATTCATCTTTTTGTATGTGTGTAAAGAGAAAATGTTCTGAAGATTCAGGTTTCATTTTTGAGACACAGAATATATGTTTAAAGTCCTTAAAAAGTTTATTAACTTTTATCATTTACAGTAAAACCATTTATTTTCACTATTTTGATATTTTAAGCATATTCACTGGGTTTTAATTTCATAATTTTGCCTAAGAAACACTGAGTTTCCATTGTGACTCCACATGTTCATGTAGATTTAATTTTGTGGATTTCGCTGTATTAGCAAAGATAGCGAAATTAAAACCCAGTGAATAATAAATGCATTTACAATACTTTGTATTTTATATTTCCTCTAGTAATTTACTGTTATAACATTTATTCCCTTCAGATGTGACAGTGGTTACTTTGGTTACAACTGCGTACCACTGTATCCATTACCACCATTAGTAAAAGATAACTTTGATGATGATATTAATAGCGACACTTGGCCGTATTATTATGGTGCTGACATCAGCAAATCATGTGGTACATTGATCTCAGGTAGCGCTCTGGTCTTCTCCAAGGTTAGTGTGATTATTGTTTATGAGATAAAAAAATATAAGGGATAATATTTGTATAGGGAATTATTTTTCACTATGGTGTTCAACACAACAGTGAAACCTGTCTAAACTATACACCAAAGCCCAGACTACGATAGAACAGACTAGAACGTAGCTTTTCCTTTGGTCAGATGCCTGCCACGTTTGTTTATGGGCTTAACTTTTTAATCCAATAAACAACCGATCGAACTAACGTGACTATAACGTAATAACGCAATATTCATTATTATTTCATCAAATAACGTAAGATAGTTTGAGAGTTACACAGGAAGTAGTATACTGTAGAATACTTTATTTTTGCTTGGAATTTATTTTCGCTGAAGGATGATTCCGTGAAAATAAAATCTAGTGAATATACTTTTTTTCCTATCTTTCAGATTAAACTCATCAAAAATCGGTGAAAATATATTCCAAGCAAAATGCCCCAAAAGCCTTTTCAGCGAAAATTAATTCCAGCGAAAATAAAGTATTCCACAGTAGTAGTCTGAGACCAGAGTAAATGCAGATAATTGTTCAGGTGATATTATTTAGGCAAAGCTATAATGTATTGATGAGAAAATGTTCCCTGTTGAGACTTGGGTCAGAATTGACAGGTTTCACTCTATAAGTATCCAAGAATTTTGCATGGTTTGGTAAAAGTTTCTGCATTGTCTTGTACTCTAAACTGTAAATATTTAAGGTGTGGGGGTGTAGGCAGTGTGAGTGTCTGTGTGACATGGTATTTGTTCATGTGTAGTCATGGTGTACCATATGTATAAGGTGTAAGTGAAAGATGACAACTGTTGGCTAAGGTGTACAAAAACTTAATGTTTGATTTGAAGCGGTGACACTTCATGACAATTTAATTAAATCTAAGTGCTAATTTTGATATGTATGCATTATGACTGTGCTTGTTTTCAGTCGACTACAAATTAGCTATGATTTCAAACGGACTACTGAAAAATACTTTATTTTAGCTAGAATTAATTTATGCTGAACTGACATTTTCAATGATTTTTAATGAGTTGAATGTGAAATAGAAAACAAAATATTTTATTTGATTCGTTCCTCCAGCAAAAATAAATTCATAAGTGAACATAATGTAATTTGCAGTATTATACATATACCAGAAATCCACACAGCCTTGGAATATCAAGAAACATTTTGATGGTTTCCTGTCTGGGTCCAGAAATAACAAAATCAAACACACAAATGTCTCAATATTTACAATCACTTTTGTCCTTCAGTCTGGTTTAAGAATGTTGGAATCAGCCAGTGTCGACAGTACTAATATGGAATACGTCCAGTTTACTGTTAAGTTTGGATGTGGTCACCAAGATGAAGGTGGTCATGCTGACTGCTCACGTGGTATCTTAGTCCAGTATTCCAACAATGGAGGAATCACCTGGCACTTATTGGAGGAAATAATGTACGATTCAGATCACAGCACACCAAGCAATGTCAACATTCAGTTGCCAATGGCAGCCAAGCTGAATGCAACCAAATTCAGATTATGGCAACCCAAAAATTCAGGTATTTTCATTAGGCCTTATAATATATAATATTAAAATTAAATTTATGATGAATAATCGTATTTTAGTACATATCATATTGCCACCATGTTGATTTTATGATGGTCAGAAATAAATTATTTTGTTGGTAATAATAATACTATGAAATACTTAATGTGTATTTATTTTCAACTGTTGGTGAAAATAATTATTTATTTATTTGTTTGTTTATTTATTTATTTGTTTCTTCTAAAATATTGCAAAAAGAAAAAGAAAAACACTATTGTTTTATTTTTAGCCGAAAATATTCTACAGCTCCATTTAAAATTTAATGTTTTATTACATTTACATGTTCTACATTTTTGACTCCCGTGTGCGAAGCACAAAAAGGGAGTCTTTGCAGTTAGTGTGTCTGTCTGTGTGTGTGTGTGTGTGTGTGTATGTGTGTCTCTTCCATCGATATCTCAAGAACCAATATTTGGATTTCAATGAAACTTGGTATATAGCTTGTCTGGGGCAATGCGCAGATTTGATTAGTTTTTGGTTGAATTTTGTGTGAATTGTGTGAATTTTAAGCTATTTTTTTAATTTGTTGGAACAGGAGAAGATCAAGACGTCTGGGCCATTGATAACATTATATTTGGTGGTAATAGTAAACAAAGTAATGTCATCAAAGAAGATTTCACTAATGGGGTCTCTGAATCAGATTGGTTGTTTTATCCAGGTAGTCATGTTGGACCATTCTGTCCTCCGAGATTTCCGTCAGGGTATGACAAGCGAAAGGAGTAAGTTTCATCTTTTGATTGTCACTTTTTCATGACAGAAATATTGTGCTATGTAAGTTCACACTTTAGCAAGCTAATTATAGCTGTGTTGTATCCATTACTCAGTAACATGTTAGAAATTTAGAAATTTCTCCATGATGTGTTTGAGACTAATTGTCAGTTCCATTCTTTATTGATTTCCCTGCAATATTTTGAAACATAGGGACAAGGTCACATTAGTTTCACTATGTTATTTGATTGATGCATTGTTTTCTGATAGATATGATAGGATTGCCTTAGTATTCGGTGATCATACTGGGGAGCACTCTGTGACCACTCGGGATGTCCACGTTTCTGAAGAAAGTGTACTACAGTTTGAGGTGAGTAATTTGGTTGGTAAAAGAGTTTAGAAACAACCTACACATTATATATTCAACCTACATGTACAAATGTATATGATCTGATCAATACACTTTTTAAATCTTCCAGATGATTCATTTCTCTAAAATTTTCTTGGTCTTCTTCATTCATTAATTATGAATAATCAAATGTATTAAGCTAATTCAAGTAAAGAATATTTGTTAGTCATTTGTAGAATGCCCACATAAACAATGAGTGTTGACATATTCTGTGCATATGAACTGAGCTGCACACAGTTCTAGTGTCCCTTCAGATGACATAATCCTTTCATTAATAACAATATTCATTGACACAAAACACTGTCTTCACTGAAAGTACAGCAGTGAGCCCAAGATTAAAGTTACATAAATATTGAAAAGTAAAAGAAAAAAAAACATTTGAATATTTTAAGTCCACCCCACATTGGAAAATGTGATGTTTTTGGGACTACTTTATTGCATGCATGAGAATACATACTTTTGTAATGGTGTTGTTCATCACATGATCACCCAAGTGTATTGATGTGTAAAAAGTAGTGCCATTGGGGTAACTGACGGAATAAACAACAAGTTAAACTTGAAAGCTCTCTGGTTTCTTTGATGTTTTGTTTCTGAGTCAACACGTCATAGAAATAAACAATGCTACATAACCATTAATTATAGCTTTGTACTTTATTCAATATCAAATATATCAAGTGTCTGTTCCACATAAGTGATAGTAAATTTGTTTACATTTAGATCAATATTGGATGCAGTGAACTTGGATCAGCAGAGCATTCTGTGTATCTGGAATACTCGCGTGATTATGGAGCGACTTGGACATTATTACAACCCTTGTGTATTGGTATCGAGAAAGCCAACAGTGTATGTGAGAATCAAATGCTACCAGCCAGTATATATTATAGAGGTGCTACAGAGGATTGGCAGAGATATATTATATCGTTAGCACCGCTTCATATATGTGGGTGAGTCTAAAATTTTGAATGCAATGAAAAGTCATCATGATTGTATTTGTAACTCAAATTTACCCAAATTTGCAGGAAACATAAAATGAGAAGTGATTCACAATTTGTACTTGATTCAACAAATTGAATTCAATTAGTTGAATGAATTTTAGATAGAAAAACAAATAATAGCATTAAATATTAAATTGCCTACTATGCTGGTAGCCATTTTGAATTCTTGATTTCTTTTCTATTTCAACTATTGCTTTATAATAGTTTTGAACAGAAGAATTATATTTAGTTTATGCTTTCAAAATATTTTTATTCTACCGAATCATGTTAGCTAGTTTTGATTTCCTTTCAGCAATGTTCGTTTCCGATGGTACCAAGGTGTTTATAAAGCCGGAGAGACGTCCATCGCATGGGGTTTAGATGACGTATACATTGGTGATAAATGTCCTGATTTCTGTAGTGGTCATGGTGTGTGTCTTGGAAACAAACAATGTCAGTGTGATCAGGGCTACGCAGGACCGAACTGCTATGCTGTGAAATTCAATCCAAGATTCTTGAAAGAATCATTTGAAAGTGAGAAAACTTAATTTTCAATTGATGATGAAATAGTATGTATAGATATTTCACTAACTGGTGTGTATTTGTCGTTGTTTATGTTCTATCATAGGCCTTAAAAATAGCAGTACATAATATTTTTAAGGTCCATGGTTTCACAAACTCAACAAACCAATTTTACTTGTTAATGGTGTAATGTTCTTACATAAATGACAGAGGTGTATCAACAGTCAAAATAAATCATATTTTAATAATTCAATTGGGGTGTTATGTGCACTTATAATGGAGCACAATATGTGATATATTACTTGGTTCTATTTTTGCTCGCCAAATCCTTCTAAATTCAGACGACCTCTTTCACAACACATAAAGAGAGAGAAGATTTGAAAGCAATCACAGCAGTTCACTATCTCCTAAAGGAAACAGAAAAGTAATGCTTATGCATAACATTACATGCAATAGAGTAATAACATACAATTGAGCAAATATGGTATATGTCTTTAAAATAGGTAAAGAAGTAAACTCCTTAAAGTTCACCCAGTGGAGTGGTGGTGTAATCACTGAGAAATGTGGTATTTTAATTACTGGTAAAAGTCTTCACTTTGTTCATAATGGTATAAGAATGCTATTGACTACTGATATGGACCTTACAACAACAAGGTATGTCTGCAGACACCCATACTCACCAAACACACACATGTACTTTCCTACTTGTATACTTACAGCAAATTCTATAACAGTGCTTGAAAGGGCAGTGGTCACCGCGGCTGCATCATGTTCGATATGGGACTCGTAGCGACGTACACATTGAGTGTACTGGTTAAATACATTGTTTGTTTACACTGAATTTGAACACACACTGCGCGACAACCACCGCCTGTTAAAGAAATCCCTCACAGATCTTTTCAACATCCAACTGATAGAGGGTGCTGTATTTTGAAATACAAACTTACAATACAGGGCTGTGTGACCATCTTCCTATCATAATGGCATTATGGCCATTTAATATGCTATACTGATATCAACTACATATACCATATGTTCGGACAAACACAAGTGGACATGGTTCTCATATCCATTATTAGTCCCCGTTCGAAGTTCTAAAACGGGGACTTATAATTCGGTCTTTGTCCGACCGTGCATCTGTGCGTCCATGCGTCCGTCCGAAGTCATATTTCAGAATCCTGTGGACCGATTCCGTTCATTCTTTGCATGTGATTAGTACTTTATGTGGGACATATGCACATGCAGTGGTTTAGCGATTGGATTCAAAATGGCCGACTGGCAGCCATCTTGTTTTTTGAAAATGTTGTATTTTGGACATGCTTTGTCAGTTGTCATTCAAACTTGGTACATAGAATATACATGTTAGGATACATGTCCAAGATGATTTATTTCGCAATTGGATTAAAGATGGTAGACTGGCAGGCATCTTGTTTTTTGAAAATGTTGTATTTTGGACATGCTTTGTCAGTTGTCATTCAAACTTGGTACATAGAATATACATGTTAGGATACATGTCCAAGATGATTTATTTCACAATTGGATCAAAGATGGTAGACTGGCAGACATCTTGTTTTTATTTTTCAATGCCGTATCTTGGACGTGCTCTGTCAGTTTTCATTCAAATTTTGCACATACATGTACTTTATACACGTTAGGATGCATGTCCATGACAATTTGTTTCAAAATCTGGTCAAGGATGGCCGATTGACAGCCATCTGACTTTTTGGCCTTACTACTATATTTCCACAATTTATGTACCATTTTCATTCGTATTTGGCACATACATCATACATACATGTATCAGTGTGTTTCATAATCAGATCAAAGATGGCCGAATAACGGCTGTTTTTATTTTTGCCCATATTACTACTACTCGGAACATGTGTTTTGATGTAAATAAACAATCTGTTGTATATGCCACTTGGAACTCAAGCTTCAAGGACACGCTCGCGACAACTCCTTCGCTTTAATATGACGAGCACAAAGAGAACTTTCGAAAATTTGACGGGGACTGTGTCATTTTCAATGACTTGTTGAATGAATTTCGGCCAGTGGATTTGGCCATTTCCCATTGAGTCTGTGGCACACTCACCCAGAGTAGAAGGGGTTTACCGTTTTTGTTGTTCAACACAATGTAGGATTTGAACACTGGTTTACCGATCCGTTGCTACAACCATATTGCTACCACCATTGATTGGTTAACACCTGACATATTCCCAATTTGACAAGTGTTCACAAAAAAAATCTCCTGCCCAACCAACTTCAGTGAAATTGTTTTTTTTATTGATACAAAATGTTCCCAACATTTTTGTGAATTTCTCTTGCACTGTTGAAGCAGCTTACAGTAATATAAAGAAATTCGAATGAGCAATTGTGACTTAATTACAGAAATAATATAATAATATTTATAAATATTTATTGCAGTTCAATTCACTTCTACATCAAGCTAGGTTGCTCTCCAAGATCACCAAGCCCCAAGAACCGCCCTGTGTTGTTACAGTTCTCGTCAAATGGTGGCCTTTCCTGGTCAACCATGGAGGAACTACACTTCATGCATGACACAAACAAACCAGCATATGTTGCTGTGGAATTACCATGGGAATCTAGAACCAATTCTACCAGGATACGGTGGTGGCAACCTTCCAGTGATGGTACCTACATTGATGAATGGGCAATTGATCAGGTCTGTATTTGTCACATTTGTCACAGGTATTCACTGGAGTTTTCTAGTACTTGATATTTTGGAGAGTTGACCAATTTTGAAAAAGGCAGTGTTCTCTTTATGCCCAATCTGATTAAAATAAGATCCTAGTTTGGGCTTATTTTTAAATTTGTATTTAATTTTTGTTAAACATTTTCTTTTACTTTCTTCTATTTTAATTCATTATTAATTTGCTGGCAGATTTTAAGAGTTTTGCTAATCGTGAAAGCCCACAAGGACCTGCCCATATTTACCAATGCCCATATAAACCCTGTTCAAGTCTCATATAAGCTACAGCCAATCACAGCTAGCCTTTCATATTGGCCGACGACATACTCATTAGAGAAAATATTTAACAAACAATTACAATGTACAAGAAAAAAGATCATGTTGTGTAATGTGGGTTTAATTTTACATAGGCAATGGCGATAGTTAAAAACATACTGAATCACAAAAAATATTTTAAAAAAAAAATTAAAAATAAAATAAAATACATCAGATTGCTCTGTGCCTTATTAAATGTTAAAGTTTCATGTGAGAAAGGAGGC